CTTTCCCTAAGCATTTGCTAGTGATATGACACTCACTCCTGCAGTCTAATCCTGCACAGTGTCTGCTTTGCAGCTGCCCTGTGAGCAGAAGGGCCTCTTCGTGGCCACAAGTGATGGGAGGAGTACCATTGCTGACTGCAAGTGACTGAAAACATGAGCAGTATGCACCTCTCCTCTCTCAAATCCACTCAGTGAACTTACAAACTCTTTCCAATCATGGGCAAAATGTCCCCATTTTGCTGCTTTTTATTAGAAGTGGATGGGGCAGGTGAGGGCTGGAATGGGGCCTCATTTGTAAGAGGAGAACAGTGTGACAGAACTTTCATAAAGCATTTAAACAAGCACTATTCTGAAGAGTTATCACCAAAAATATACAAGCTTATTTGTGATGAAACGTCTGGCAAGATGTTTCATGCAAGAAACAGTTAAATTGTTTGATTGTTAGCCAAACTGAGTAACATACATGTAGAAATGGGGCAGATGAGTGAAAAGGAAGAGAAAGATGAAAAGCATGCATCTGTTATTTTAAAGTAATTTTAAAACAGTACTAAGTTTTAATCTATAAAAAGCAAGTATTTGCTAGATACAGTTGGGAATACTGTTCTGTAGTAATATAATTAAGGATGCAAAGGAACACATCTGAGTTTTAGAAATTAAGTTTCATTTTGATGTAAAACAAAACCAAGGCTTTTAAAATTCTGAGAGGCACAAGCGTGTGCACATGATGGAGGGAACAACGCTGCCAAGAGTGCAGAACGTAGTAATTACAGGTATCATCTGGGACATGAGAACATTTCAGCATTCTAAAACAGATACCACATTTCCACATCCCAGTGTAATGATTTGACATGCTAATGCCTCCCTCTTTTTGTCCTAAGAAAAATCCCAATGAAACTCATCAAAATCAGTCCATATATTCTTGTAAAGCATTTTTGTTTGCAAGTGACATGACAATAACTATTAGCAACTGGCAATTAGAAATGTGAAACTATCACAGTTCAACTGAAGGAAAAGAAATACTAAGTCATAAAAGACAAATGATCTTCCTCTGATTATATGAGTCTTTCATAATAAATCTAATAATACTGAGAAAACAATCTGCGCTTTTTACTGTAGTGCCTGCCCTGTCAAGGATCACTTAAAGAATTACAGAGTTCCAAAGTGGCTTTGTTTTGAAATGTCACTGACAAGGTAACCTAAGAAAAAAAAAAAAAGAACATTTTCCTTCTGATAATTAAACCAGGGTCGAAATTAATCAAAAGATGGTATGAAAAACTAAGCTTCTTTGACAAGTACAGATGTAACTAAAGCAAACCCAGAATATGTTAGACATCACCAAAGTAGCATTATTTCCCATTATTTTTCCTGAAGCTGTACTGATATCTTGAAGTTCTCTAGATCAAGACTTAAATCATACAGAAGTGAACAATTGAAATAGCCACCTCCCCCCAGCTTATTAATCGTACCTTAATTTGTGCAAAAGGTCTGTCAAAGTTTCCAACATAAAGAAGACCAACATTCTGGGTGAGTAGCCTAAAAAAATGAAAACAAACACTTTTAAGATACCACTTTACATCCAGAAGTTTTTTTGCACCTCCAATAGTTGTTACTGAACCCTAGCACGGTTAACAAGCTTCATTACGATAGCAAAAGCTATCCTTGCAAATCTGATCACACAATTCTATTTGAACTACCATAAAAAAGGAAAGATGTGCATTAAAGATGGATGCACACCAGTAATTTGTGTTTATAGTGCAAGCAGCTCTTCAACTAAATCATTTCACAGGTTTCTTTGTGATGGATGTCACTCAGTAACATGGAAGAGTGGCAGGTATATGCCTTTTTCTGTTTATTAGAGACCATTAGAGACAAAGGGACAGCAAGAGGAAAGACTAGTAAACATGCATTCAGAGAGCAGGCCTAAGAGTTAAAACAGACTAGGGTAAATAAAAGTATGCACAGTAATACAAAAATCACATCAATACAAGCAGAGAAATAACAAAGAATCTCTGCAATATTGTCTAATGGTTGTCTAAATAAAAAGAGCCCCGGATGCAGTTTGTGCCTGCTGTTCTCTTCAACTCTTTATGAAGTCATTGCGTACATCACCAAGATCCAGAGGGACAGAGGGATAAGTTGACTCAAACGACTGTTGGTACTCCTGGAAGAGAGTTAGCTTGGTTTCTGCAGATATTGCGCAAGTCAGTGTTATTACTACACAAACTCCAAATCTCAGAGGAGCATTAGAACAGGCAGACAAGAACATTACTGGCCAGCAAAAATGGTAGGAGAGTACTGTGCTGTTCAAAATGGACAATCATGATGTTTCTCTTGCTAAGCAAAGGCACGGTGGTCATTCCCTCCAGTTCAGAGGCTCTAAAAGTGTTGCACTAAAATACAGGCACCCCATAATAAGGAAAATTTTTTGATGATGAACCCTAGAAAGAGTTTCTGTTCTGATTTAAAGGGACATTCAAAACCCATCATACTCTCCAAGTTTTCATTAAGTGTTTGCTATTTCATATTTTCCTTCAATTTCACGTTCCATTCCCTTTAGTAATAAGGCCTCACATATGAATTAAACTAAATAACCAGCAAGAAGTACAAATGTAGGCATCATTCTGCTTAAGTCTGATACTAAGGCATCTCTTTCTTATATTTTGAGCATATATATATATACTTTTAATTCACACTGAGTTACGTATTTTTTCTACATATAACCCATCCGTAATTTTCAACTAATTTCTCACCATTGCCAGGCCTGTTTTCATAAAGAAAAGAAAACAGAAGCTTAGATGGCAGTAAATTGTTTTGACTGTACACAGTTTAGTATGACTTTGATTCTCCCAGTTCTGACAATACATATATGATCTTAAACTGGTTC